ACCATCTCCTGTCCTTAAAGCCATCAGGCAGGCCAAGGATGTGAAGGTTCAGTGTGTGGTGAGGATGGATGTTTTGGGGGAGACTCTGGAGGAGGGTTTTGGTGAGTCTAGCTGGTGTGGTGAGTCTCATGGCCATCAGGGTGAAGGGTGGGGAACCCAGAGTCCCACCTTGGGCAGGTGGAATGAGGGGACCTCAGAGGCTTACCCTTTACTCTGAGGCTTAAGGTAGTGGCACTGTGACCATTGACTCAGTCCTGGGAAATCCAGAGCTCCCCTGTCCAGTGCAGTAGTCACTAGCCATGTGGCTGTTTGAAATAATTAAAATTTAAGCTTGTTTGTCACTCCAGCCACTTGTCCAGTGTTCAGTGGTCATGAGGGTCTAGTGGCCACCATATGGACAAGGAATAAGTGTGTCAATCATCTCAGAAAGTGCTGCTGGGTAGTACTGAGGGTCAGGGTGGCTTCACATCTATTTCGGTATGAAACAAGGAGAGAAGTAGTTTGGATTGGCCCAGCCTTCCAGAGTTCTCCGTACTAACAGAGACGGTAATAGCAACAAAGACCACATGGCCCAAGCTGGAAATATTTTCTACCTGACCCTCTGCAGGAAAGGCCTGACAAACCCTGATTTGGAGAATGGGTTTCCACTGGGGTGGGAAGCATTGTCAGGAGCTTGAGAGGCTGGAGAGGAAGCCCAGGCAGAAGTTCTGATAGCTCACACTGGGAGACAAGTGGATATTTCTGAGAAATTATTTGGAAGTAGAGTTCATGAGACTTGTCTGTGAATTAGATATAAGGGGTGGGTATGGGGTGGAGAGGACAAGAAAAGGGTGGTATGGGGCATCTGGTCTGGCTGGACAGCTAGTGGGGCATGGAGCACTGAACCTGGTGAAAGTGGATGATATGGTGTGGCTATGTCCCCACCCAAAATCTCATCTTGAATTATAATTCCTACAATCCCCATAATTTCCATGTGTCAATGGAGAGGCCAGGTGCAGGCAATTGAATCACAGGGGGCAGTTTTCCCCATGCTGTTCTCATGATACTGAGTGAGTTCTCACAAGATCTGATGGTTTTATAAGGGACTCTTCCCCCTTCACTTGGTACATCTCCTTCCTGTCGTATTGTGAAGAAGGTGCTTGCTTCCCCTTTGCCTTCTGGTGTGATTGTAATTTCCGGAGGCCTCCCCAGGCATGCTGAACTGTGAGTCAATTAAACATCTTTTCTTTGTATGTTATCCAGTCTCAGGCAGTTATTTTTAGCAGCGTAAGAAGAGACTAATGCAGTAGGGATCTGGCTGGATTAGTGCCATGTCCACAGCTTCTAGAATAGTGCCTGGAACCCATGGTTGTTCAATAACATTTGCAAGATGGGTTGATGGTTGAATGAGTGAGAGGGAAGGGAAGGCTCAGGAGAATTTGTTGTGGGGACCAAGATTCAAGTTTGGATGTGATTGGCCTCCAGATGGAGATGCCCATGTGGCCAACTGGTAACATGGAAATCTGGAGCTCAGAGAAACGGTCCAGGGTTAACAGAGAAATGGAATCAGTTCTGAAGCCAGAGGAGTGGATGAGAATGACCTGTGAGAGGGGTAGACAGGGAAGAGGACCTAGGCCTGCATCCTGGGGCAGCCCAGGTGGACATTCATATGCAGGAGGTGGGACCTGCCAGAGAGGCTGAGCAGAGGTGGCCAGGGCTCCAGGGGAGAACTGGGAGAGTGTGTGTCGGGAAGCCAGAGGGGAAAGTGTTAAAGATGGTGGATGGCTGAGTGGGGTGGCCCTGGCTCAGTGAGGGCGCCAGGGCTTGCTGGGTGGAGATGCAGTGTTAAAGGTCATCTTTCATAAGTTTATTTTGCAAAGGAACAGGTAATTGTAACTAAGCTGGGAGTGTAGACGAGGTCAAGATTGTTTGGTTTGGTTTTGGGTAGAATATTTTAGATCTTGTTGGGATCCTAAAAAGAAGGATAAGTCAGTGATGCAGGCCAAGGGGGACAACCTGTCAATAGCTCAGAGGGATGTGGAACTGACCCAAGTCAGTGCTTATCTAGTGAAGTTTTACATGGAGATCAGACATAGAAGATAGATCCAGATGATTGGCTGGGGCTGACCCAGGAGTGGGGACACTGACCCCAGGCTGCTCTGCCTCCCTGGTAATGCTTCCTTTGGTGGTACCTCTTAGCAGACCCTTGGAGCCCAGTTCAGATGCTGGCCACATTGTCCTGGAGGAGATGAGTCAGAGGAGTGCTGAGTAGCTCTAGACAAACCTTCCCTGCCGTGGTCTCGTGTTGGCCTTTCCATCCCTGTAGTGGGCAGGGTCGGGTATTTTATAGATATTTGTACAGATGAGGAGACTGAGACTCCCTAAGCAAGGTGGAGACCAAGGTCACTCATCTGTAAATAGGTCAAACACATGGAGGAAGGAGGGGGATGCTGGATTCTGGTGTAATTGTGGTAAGGTGAGCCTTTTCCATGACATCTCTGTCTCCCAAAAGCAGGACTTTGGAAATGTCCTGGGTGACCAGTCCCCTGAGAGCATGACCCATTCACAAAGAAGCAATCCAGAACAAGAAGTCCTGTAAACCCGAACAATCAAAGCAGGGTGTGGATGCAAGGACCACATGAAAGGGCTTCAGAATAATAGATGTGTGAATATCTGAAAAGAGGTTGGACCCCCAGGAGGAAACTTCCTGGGAGAAAACTAGGCCTGGGCTGGCTACTGAGAGCTCACCCCATGCCTGGTGGTCTTGGCCATGAGCTTGGCTGCCAAGGAAATGGGCTCTGAAGTGTGGTGTCCCAAGAATGAGGGTGTCCACTTACCTGTGCTGATTTACACAAGACAGAAAACTCCACCAAGTTATAACTGGAGACTACATAGAGAAAATGGGCATTTCTATGCTTACCTGTGACTTAACAAGGAAACCTCACAACTATTTTTACCTAGAAAGCACAAAATATTTACTTTGATGTTGTTATCAGGGCAAAACTTACTAAGTGAAACAACTAATCAGAGTTGTAGACTCTTAGACATTATAGGTTACAAGTCAGATGACATAATGACAATCTCAGAGCATAGGAGTCTTAAACCCCTTTGAACAAGTAACACTTTTGAGGACAGTTTAATAGTAATAAGAAAAATAAAATGAAAACAGCACTTTCCTGTGGGTATCCATGCAGAACAAAAGAGTATAGAGCCCACTGTAATTATGGTTGTTCTCAGTTCAGGCCAACTTCATAACACAGAGCTGAGTCTGCCCTCTGCAGTTGGAGTATGTGTTGTTGGGGGAGAACAACACATACTCCATCTCTGCTTTCAGAGATTTTGTTCTCCAGGCATTAGGAGGGCTGGCCCTTCTGAGATAAGGACTCCATTGTCATGAACTTAATGTAAGAAAGGGCTGGGAATTAGAGTTTAAAACGTCCAACATGGGCAATAAAGGAACAGAAACTAATGATAGCTAATGGGATACAAGGGGCATGCAATATTTCCATCTGGTGTTTAGCTGGAGGCTCTCTGTGGGCAGGAATTAGGCCTGTTTTAACACTCCCTCCCCCGACCACTGTGTTTTCAGCACCACGGACAGCACCAACAGCTCCTGGGTACCTCCAGAAACAGCAGCTAATAGATGAATGAACCCTACAGGAGCTAACACAGTGACCCAAGGACAAGCTCCAGCTCCACCAGGCTTTTCCCTCAGACATACAATGGGGAGAGTGTTTGTGTCGTCTTCATTGGGTAGTTGTAAAAACTGAATAAGATGACGTGTGCCAGGTGCCTTCCACGGGCCTTAGCACTCAAGAGTGTGCTGAGAGGGCAGGAAGTGAGGGAGTGCTGGTCCCGGGGAGACCACCTCTCTTGGATCAGAGGTAAGGAAGAACAGAGATGTTGGGGACAGCAGTTTGCATTTGAGTCATAAATCCAAGAGGAGCCCCGGTCCGATGACCTCAGTTTTACCTGTAAAGCTGCAGGTGAAGCTGTGTGGTAGGAGCAGCAAAGGTGGGAAGTTGGAGGTGGGGAAGGGAAAGAAAGGGCTTGAGCAGTCATGCAGAGCACCTGCAGGAGGAAGCTCCTAGCCACGGGTCCTGCAGAGCAACAGTTCTTCCTGAAGTGGACTCCATGGGCTCTTCTTCCTGCAATACTAGGTGAGGGCAGGAGCAGACAAGTGGCAGCTTCATCCCCAGATGAAACTTTTCCAGAGAGTTGAAAGGAATCAAGGCAAAGAACTTAGGGACTGTTGGTCAGATTGCTGTTGAAATAATGGATGATGGAACCCAAGCCAGGTAAAAAGAGAAATAAGAAAGGGAAGGGTTGATGGGTTGAGGGAAAGCTGGGGATGGGCAGGCTGAGGGTGGTGGTGAAGGAGGTAGATGGAGCCTGAATGAGCAGCTAGGAAGGGAGGGTTCTGGGTTCTGGGGTGGCCGAACCCTTCTTCCAAGTCGATCCTTCCTGTCGTCACTCCCACCCTAGGCTGGCATACCAGACGTTAGCACTGCTGCAAACAGACAAATAAGAATGAGAGCTGCTGGACTGGAGGGTTACACTGTGTCATGGCCACTTCTTGCTTAAACTGAGAAACAATCCTGTGAGGGGCTGTTGGTAACACAATGCCATGCCTGAGTAAATGGAGTTTTGGAGAGATTTAGTAACTTAAGGTCCAAGAGTAAGTTCAGAGACCACTTGAGCCTGGGTGTGTCTGACTCCAAAATCTGGCATGGTGAACCCTGCTCCTAGGTGAGGTGGGAGCTATGGCGTGCACCTCTCATGGAACAAAGAGTGGAATCCCTCATGCTATTGAAATGACTTCCCTCTCTGCATCCTCCTCTCTCTGCTTCTGATGGTTCTATTGAGAGTTGAACTTGCAGGAAGTCAAGTGCCTGTGTGAGGTGACTGCTCTGTATGCTCTTCACGATGCCATCCCACCAAACCCTCTTGCTTTGCTCTCTTACTTCCATTGCTATGAGAGGAAACATGTTTTTGAACTCTCTGCTTTGCCTTTGAACCAGCCAAGATGCCATCTGCATCCAGTGGTGAAGAAGCAGATGCTGGCAGCCTCCTGCCCACCACCGATGAGCTCTCCCAAGCCTTAGCTGGGTCTGACTCCCTGGACAGTCCTCCCAGACCTCTGGAGAGATCTGTGGGCCAGCTCCCCAGCCCCCCACTGCTGCCCACTCCGCCACCCAAGGCAAGCTCCAAAACCACAAAAAATGTCACAGGTGGGTCCACATGCATCCTGTCCATCCTCTTTCCTTTCTCTGCTCCATCCATCCATCCATCCATCCATCATACATTCATCCACCCATCCATCATCTGTCTATTCACCCATTCACTCATCCATCCATCTGTCCATCCATCTACCCATCCACCCATCCATACCGTCAGCCAGTCTTGATTGGGCACCCACTATGGGCTGGTTCTCATCATTAGCTTCTGTGACTGGGGTTCAGGGCAGGCCCAGAGGAGTAGATCTTACCAAGGAAACTGTGGCTGTCAGGAGCAGACTGCCTAGTCTCCCTCAGGCAAACAGGGGAGTGTCTTTGCAGGAGTCAAAGGGGGCATCTTCTGGGACCTGAATGCAACAGATGCAGCCTGTTCCCAGGACGGGACTTGGCTTTAGCTTGGCTTGGCTTTTCTTTTTCTTTTTTCTTTTCCTTTCCTTTCCATCCTGTTCTGTTCTTTCTGGATGTTCATGTGTCTGTCTTTCTCTTTGTGCTTCTCTCTGAATCTCAGTCTCTTTCAGTCAGTCTCTCTCCCTTCCTCCCTCCCTGTCTCTGCTGGTCTCTGTTTGCTGTTTCACTTTCCAATAAGTTCTGTCCAGCAAGGCAGAGCCAGGAGTAAACAGCAGACATTGGTGGTCAGATAGGGGTGCACAGCTAGACAGAGGCCCCCATGGTCAGACACTTATGTAGCTTTTGTCACACTGGCAGAATAATCCTAGCAAGTAGAGATAATTTTGCAAACGTAGGTATTTTTTGTCTGGAATTGACTGGTGCAAACAGGACACATTGATGGTCTCGGGGAAGAAGTAGGCTGTTGATGAAGAGATAATGACTTTTCGGAGTAAAACCTTGCATGCTGTCTTTGAAGGCTGTGAGTGTCACACATGACACAAAGCAGAGGTTGACAATTTTGTTACAATCACCTGACCTCCGATTAACCACCATCAATAATTGCCATTTGTTGGGTAGGCACCAGGTGCCCCATTTGTAGTTGACAAAACAGGCTCAGGAGACTCCAGTAACTTGTCCCAGGTCCTGGAAATGATTGAAACTTTTGAACCCAGTTTTGGGCCCAAAGCTTGTTGCTACCACACCTGTGGCCAGGGGCTGGTGCCCTCCCCTCTGCGATCTCACCTAATCCTCATTGTGCTTCTTCCCAGCTTTCATGGAAGAGGGAACTGTCACCTTTTGGAAGAGGTGTCAGCTGCTGGGACAGGCAGAGCCTGGGCATGAGCTTGGGAGGGCTGGGTCCCAGCCCCTGGCTCTTTTCTGAAGATCTTACTGCCCCTTATGGGGTGAATGCTCAACCTGGAGGTGACTCTTGGGTGGCAAATGCTTTCAGTGGGACATTTTCCTTGTACGCCAAACATGAATTAAGTGTTCCAATCTAACTGATGATTCTCAACCAGACACCACAGAACCAGAGGAGGTGAGATGCATCCCACAGGGGGCCTCTTTAGCTGGTACTGCAGATGTTCTGGATGGGATAGATGTGGGGCTGTGTGCCCTGTGGTTCCCCGAGTAGGGTTGGTATGTGGGAAGATGTGCTGCTGGGTGAGTGGAGGGATGAGTGAGGGGGCGTCCCCTCCACCCCACCACCCTGAGACTTGGCCCCGGCTGTTCTCCCTGCCGGAACATTCTCCCTTCCTGCTCTGCCTGGTCAGTACCTTTGCATGCTTGGGACCACAACTCAAGCTGTCTCTCCTTCAGGGGAGCCAGCCCTGACCCCTGACCTCATAGCACTATGTGCCCCATCTTCCAGCATTTACCGCATTGCCCCACCTTGTTTAGTGGGTTGAATGGTGTCCTCCCAAAATTCCCATCCACCTGGAACCTCAGAATATGACCTTGTTTGGAATAAGCGTCTCTCAACTGTCAGTAAGTTAAAGATCAAGCTGAGCTCATGCTGGATTAGGGTAGGCCCCGAATCTAACAACAGCATCCACGTGAGAGGCAGAACAGGACACACAGGGATGGGAGTGATGCATCCACAGAACGCCAAGCATTTTCCAGGGAGAGAGGCCTGGGACGGCATTTCCCTCACAGCCTCAGAAGGAACCAACCCTGCCAGCCTCAGTTTCAGGCTTCTGGTCTCCAAAACTGTGAGAGTTGTTCTGCTGCTTTAGGCTGCCCAAGGAGCCATACATGCCTTGTCTGTTGTATGGTTTGCCTCTCTCTAACCACCTGCCCCCGAGACAGTAGCCCCTGAGAACTGGCCACACTTTTGTGTTCACCATCAAATCCAAGCGCAGGCATAGTACAGGGCATACAGCAGGCACTCAGCAAGTGCAGATGACGGTTGCATGGATGAATGAATGGTGAATGAATGCATGCATGTCCTGAACCCTGTCTGTCTGCTTTCTGCATCTTTCCACATCTCTGTAGATGAATCCAAATATTCAGTCTTTGTGTGATATGGCCATATAAATTACAGTACAAAGTTGGGGGCAAAACTGGGCTATGTTGCATTCTGTTATTGTCTTTGCGATAGCTCCCTTTTTCCTCCATTGAAACCTAAAACCATTGAAAGTCCATTCAATTAATCACCATTCACCTCATTTTATTCTGGCTAATGTATAATTTGTTCCTGGCCCTCAATAACTTGGTAACCCAGAGAGTTTCCTGCCTCTCCCGAGCTTGGGAAGGTCGAGCCTCAGAAGGCACAGGTCTTCACTCTGACTCCACACGCCCTAAATTCTGGCATTCTGTCCCAAGTCTGCGGACACTTCTGGCTTCCACACTGCCCTCAGCTGCAAGGACATCAGGGGATACTCTGACACTTATGCGTTTCCAAGGGGACTGAATTGAGACTGGGAGGTGGAGGAGGGTGGTTCCAAGCTATGGGCCCTGGCCTGGCTTCTTACTGCAGAGACTACATTTTGGTGACTTTGATTTAATTTTCTCAGTTCCTCTTTTTCCTTTTCCTTTGGGAAAAGGTTCATGTGCTTCAGCATGTGAACACTAGATGGCAGCAAAGAAGACAGTTCCCCTACCTGGGCTTCCCTTGCTGCAGGAGGGACCGTGGCCCAACTGAGTCTCCACCCAAGGCAGGACCGCAGGTGTCTTAGTTCATCTGAGTTACTTATAAACCACAGAAACTTATTCCTCACTCTTCTGGAGCCTGGAAGTCCAAGACCAAGATGCTGGCAGATTTGGTGTCTCTGATGAGAGCTGGCTTCCTAGTTCATAGGCCAAATTCCTGGACTTTCTTGAAAAGTCTTCATCTTGGATCACCCTCTGAGTCACCACAGGCCCATTAAGGTGGGCGGGTTCTCTCTGTGTGCTGTGGTCCCCACCCTCCCCTCATGGAGAAATTGCAGGAGGTCCCTTGCATTCCCGGGTTTCACCTGCCTGGTCCCTGGAGATGTGTTCACCCCTCTCCCTTTGACCTCTCCTTTACCCCTCTCCTTTACCCTTGCTGTCACCTGGTCCAGTTGGTGACACTCAACTCTGAGGGATGGGAGTCCCACAGCCTCTGCCAAGTATAAGTGGAGCTGGGTGCGATGTGCTTATCTCAGCTCCCGCCTTCTTCTGGTGGCCTGCCCCTGAGGTGGCTTCTGAACTTCAGCTTCCTCATCTGTGAAATGGGAGTGACAAGGGGTCCCCTGCACAGGCTGGGTGGGGCGAGCCAGGCAAAGCTCTATGGGGGCCGTGGGGTCAGTGCTGGTTGTCACATCTGGGATTGACGGTGGGGCAGAGACCTGGGTGGGATCCCAGCTCCACCAAGCTGAGTGAGAGCAGGCAAACCATGCTGCCTCAGTTTCCCTATTTGTACAACAGGGCTAGTGATTCCTTCCTCATGGGGCTGGGGTGAGGAGTAGAGGCAGTGATGGTTAGAGACAGAGGGGCTGGGGGATGCTGAGTGTCACCTGCCTGTGCTCAGGAGTGGGGTACTCTCCTGAGCAAGAGCAGCCTGGGGAGGCTGAGGCCAGTGGGGAGAGGACAGCGCAGTGTGCAGAAGCTGGGATGGGTCTCCCTGCAGCCCCTGCCCTGCCTGGCCACTTCTTGCATGGCTGGATCCTTGTCATTTCTCAGGTCTCAGCTCAAAGGTCCCCTCTGCAGAGAAGCCTTGCCTGACCTCCCTCTCCCAAACCAGCCACCACCTCCCTCAGACCAGCCCAGTACTCTCAGCCCATCTGCGTGGTGCCCTCTTGCCCCCCTCCCCTTTCCTCTCTCTCTCCCAGCCCTTTTCTCTACCTCTCCTTCTGTCTCCTTCTCTCTTCTACAGTCATTTGCTCTCTTTCTGTCTGCCTGGTCTCTGTCTGGCTCCACCAGTCTAGGGCAGGGCCAGGGCCTTTTCCCTGTGGCCTGGCCTTGTCTGGCCAAGCAGGTGCTTGTGGACAAAGTGAAATAACTAAAATCCTTCACGAGGTTTACAGTTTCTTTTTGGGTTTTGAGGAATACTTTTTATCGATGCTGGCCACATCCTAGGATTATATCGAAAGAGTTTGTTTCTGGCTTTTAGGGAATGGGGTAGTTTAGATCTGGTTGTTTTCCTGGTGGGATTAAGGGGAGCTGGTGTTTGTATCAGTCCTGCCAGGATACTTTCGGAATGAGAGTTTATGCTGAACACCTAAGAGCTGCTGGGCCTGTGCCGGCTGCTGGGCCTGTGCCGGCTGCTGGGTTCCTGAAAAGGAGCTGATGGCCTCATTTTACAGGCAGGGAGGCTAAGCCTTTGAGAGCTTCGGTGACTTTCCCGGAGTCTTGCACATTGGGAAGTGGCAGATCAAGACCAGAGGCCAAATCTGCAGAAGACAAAGCCCAGGCTCTCTGCTCTTCTGGGCACCTGAGCCCCCTGCTGGCCTGGAGCACGTGCAGGAGACCATCGGTGAAGGAAGGAGGGGGTGTCCCACTCATTTAGACTTGATTGAGCGAGTCTGTTTAGAATCATCTTCAAAGTCATTTCATGTAAACAAGTGTTTATTGCACGTGTTTTAAGTGCCAGGCCTGGGGAAATTGTAGGAAGGAAGGTGGACACAGGCCTGCCCGGGAGCAAGAAACAGACCAGGCAACGTGATTCACTCCAAGTAAGAGGAAAGGTGTCAGGGCAGGCTCAGGTCCCAGGGGGCAGGTGACGGGGATCTGATCAAGGCTTCTCTAAGGAAATGATATTCTAGCAGAGGAGCAGGGAAGCATTTCAGGCAGAAAGAACAGCCCATGCAAAGACTCAGATTGAAGGGAGTGTGGTGCCTTCAAAGACAGGAGAGAGATCTTCACACGCTGGAGGGAAGAGAGTGAGGTGGAGATGCAGCTGGGGAGCCGAGTGGGGCCACCCCCAGGGGCCTTGAGACTGGGCCATGAGTTGGAATCATGTCCTAAGGAAAATGGGAGAGCAATCCAATTCACTTTCTGGGGTGATGCTCCTGGCAGAGATACAGGGAGAGAGTTGGAGCCCAGAAATGTATCCCTTACTGTTCTGAGGGCTGGAAGTACAAGCCCAGGGTGCTGCAACAGACGCTGTGGGGAGGGCAGAGCAGACCATGGTGTTCGTCCAGGCTGAAGAGTGGCTGCACAGTTTCTTCCGGGTTTCCCAAGAACAAGAAGCAGCTTCAGGAAGCTGAATTCATAGCAGAGAAGCCGGAAGGAGGTTTTTCTAAGCCAGACTCCCTGCAGGGAGGATGCCGGTGCTGGTGTCTGCAGGGCTCAGCCCCTAGCAGGGTGTGCGCTACAGATGGAGCAGAACTGGACAGAGATGCACCCTGGCCTCCAGCTTTGGGAGCAGGGATCCTGGTCCAGCATCTTGGCATTAGTTGGGGCTGCCTCCCGGAGGTGCAGGGGAGCATCCTCTCCACTCACGGTCTCCAGTCTCAGCAAGACCCTTGGTCCCAGCTCCTGAAGACTAATGTTCTTGCTGCTTCCTCCCACACCCCAGGCCAAGCTGCACTTTTCCAAGCCTCTGGCATGAAGAGTGCCGACCCTCCCCTCCGGGGCCAGCTCTCCACACCCACGGGGTCTCCGCATCTCACCACGGTCCACCGGCCTCTTCCCCCAAGTCGCGTCATTGAGGAGCTGCACAGGGCGCTGGCCACGAAGCACCGCCAGGACAGGTGAGGCCCTGCCCCGTGAGGGAGACCTGTGCCACCAGAATGCCCGCCTGGCCAGCCTCAGGCTGTGCAGCTCGTGCTGTGCCCAGGGCCCTGGCTGGGTCTCCCGTTCTACAGTCCCCGTCTTGAAATTCCTGATAACTTCTGAACAAGGAACCCACATTTTCATTTTGCACCTCGCTCTGCAAATTACATAGCTGACCTTGGTTCCCACATTCTGGGAGGGGGTGCACAGTGAATGTGCACTGTGGGAACCTGACCACAAAGTCCCCTGCATGAGCCACTCAGGACCCAGGGTGGGGTTGGGAGCTTGGCAGGAGAGAATGACAGAGAGAGAAGTGGCTGTTCCACTTTGTCCCAGGACACTGAGGGCTTCATCGTTTTCACTGGGCAAGAGTGTAAGGCAACCTGTGCCTGCAGCTTACTCTTATTTTGGATCACATGTGTCTCACGGACTGTGAAAGACTAGAGGCTACATCTGTGTAAGAACTAGTGAATCGTTAGAGGTAAAATAGGTAACGGGAGGCAGGATGGTTTGGAGGAATATTCGACTGACAAAATGTCCTTCTCAGTTTTTGTGACGTCCTCTCCCTGAACATTGATTGCCCTATGTTTTGGCAGGTTTTATTACTTGCATGTTCTGAGCTTTTCAAAACAGCATGTTGTAAACAGCTATTTGCTTTGAACTCAAAGCCTCATGCTCCTTCTGGGTGTCCAGGATAAAAGCCAAGAGGCTGCATGCATTTTGGTGCTGCCTCTGTGATATTAATTATGAGCTCTGAAGTCAATCGTGCTGGATTTCTGGGTGAAGGGCGCAACTTGTAACCTGAACCATCTTTCTGGTTTAGTTTTCAAGGAAGAGAAAGTAAAGGGTCTCCAAAGAAGCGGGTGGATGTCCGTCTGTCGAGAACGTCCAGCGTGGAGCGGGGCAAGGAGAGGGAGGAGGCTTGGAGCTTTGACGGGGCCTTGGAGAACAAGCGAACTGCCGCTAAGGAATCTGAGGAGAACAAGGAGAACCTGATCATGAATTCTGAACTCAAGGACGACTTGCTTTTGTATCAGGACGAGGAGGCGCTGAACGACTCCATTATTTCTGGTGAGGAAAGGATGGCCCATTAAGTGTGGGGATCTCGGCCAGAGGTCTCCTGTCACCAGGGGGTCGGGGACAGAGCTCATGCCTGGGGGAGGAACAGGTCAAGGGCTGCACCTGGGGAGAAACAGGAGGAGGTTGTGTCCTCTGGAAATGAACCTCTCCTGAAACAAGCTGGGATGGGGGTGCACAGCCAGGCTTGGAGCAAGGAGTTAGAAAATACCCCGGCAAAGTTGTTTTGAGAGTTGCATATTAGTTTTTGTATACGTGGAAAAAAACCCAAAAACATGAAAGTAGTGTAGCAAGTGACTTTGAGAACGCCACCCCTGAGGATGGTGTGGCGAACAGTATACAGGTGGTGTACAGATGCTCGGTGTTTAGAAGTTATAGAAAAAACAAACAAACAAAAACTAACAAGCAAGATGAGATGGAAGCGGAGGGAGAGGGAGGGAGAGAGATTGCTCCATTGATCCCAAATGGCCGTCTCAGAAGTGGTGTGAATGGGACAGGCAGCGGATGCTTGTTTGGGAGCAGGTGCTCACAGGGTCCTGGGAAGCCAGCTCTGTGTTTGTCCTCATGGTGCGTTCTCGGGATCAGAGTAATTGCTCCATCCTACCCTTGAGGATTCCGGGGCTCGGGACGATAGAGGCCTGCAGACCACCCTGCGATGAAGGGAGGAGGCGGCTCAGGCTAGGAGGAGGAAGCGCTGAGGGGGTTTCCCTCCCAGCTGGTACCGGCTGTGCGGGGCCCTCTGGTCACTTCCAGGAGGGTCCAGGTGGCCGTGGTGTTTGGCCTGCAAGGGAAGAATCAGGAAGTGTTCATTGCTGTTCTTCCTGGAAGCATTTCATGGTGACTGTTGTGGGCGTGGGCAGAACTCCGGCCATGTCTTCCTGTGGGGAGCGGGAAAGGGCAGCAGATGTCAGTGCTGACCCTGGCTGGTGCTGAGGCATGCGGTTGGTACTGTGATGGGTGGACAGACCGGCAGCCCTTGGCTCCATAGCCTCCCCTTTCCTGCTGCTTCGGAGCCTTTCCACCAGGTCCGAGGAAGCAACTCTGAATATGTGGCTGCAAAACATGAAAGGGTGGGGGGGTGCTGTTACCCCTGTGTTTGGAGGAGGCTGACTTCCACCGTGGGACCAGTGTCTTTGTGGCAGAAACTTGGGACTGGTCACTGGCCTGAGGGCACCAATGTCTTTGAAGAGGCTGGAGCCTGTGGTGTTCCCCAAACCCATTAGACCCTGGAATCCTTGCCCTTAAACACCTGCAAACCTCCAGCAGAAGAGTGCTATGTGGGTGCACTTGGGAGAAGAACTGGTGTTGGGATGGTCAAGGGAGAAGGGTGCTATGTGGGTGCACTTCGGAGAAGAGCTGGTGTTGGGATGGTCAAGGGCTAGAGCAGGGTTCCTCAGCACTAGTGGCATGAGGCCAGGTCATTCTCTGCTTGGCAGGGGGCTGTCCTGGACACAGGAGGATATTCTGCAGCATCCCTGGCCTCTCCACACTGGATGCCCCCAGTGGAGACAACCTAAAACATCTCCAGACTTGGCCAGATGTCCCTGAGGGGCAGACTCGCCCCCAGTTGAGAATCACTGGCATAGTCTGTTCCCCTGGTTTGGGGGTGCCCTTCCATAAGGCCCTTCTCCACTCCAGGACACAATGCTTTCATTGGTGAGAGGGAGATGGGAACTGCTTCCTCTTGACATTGACAATGTCAACAGCCAGGGCCCTTTACCAGGTGCTTCTTGTGTCTGGGATGCTGGTCTAAGGTTATGACAAGACAGGAGCCCCATGAGGCTGATGACATCATAATCCTTATTTTACAGATGTGTAAACTGAGGCATGGGGAGGCCATGTAACTGGCCATGGCCATGCAGCTCATTGGTGCCAGGCTGAGACTTGAACCCAGGCTGCCAGCTCCAACTTTCTGCTCTGTACTAGACCCTCTCTGAGGATGAGTGGATTAATCCACATCAGCCCTTGGCACAGGGCCTGGCTCAAGCCGGGTGCACCTCAGAGAGCACTTCTTCCTGTCCTCACCATCCACATGGTAGGGAGAGCTCCTGGCCCAGAAGACTCTCGCAGCTTGACTTTCCTTCAGGGCATCATTAGGCCATCCAGATGCAGTGTCCTCATGCCTGGCATTAAAGGATTAAAGGTATAATGCAGTCATTTTATTTAAACATGGAAGAGGATGGGAATCTGCGTTTCACCTCTCGGGAGCCTCAGGCCTGGCCCGGATGTGCCCTCAAAACACTGTTTGGCAGCGCAGTCGAGACGCAGAGTTTCTGCACTGGAACTGGCATCAAAGCACATCTAGCAGCACCTTTGGCTCCCGCCTCTGTCCCTCCTGCCCAGCGCCCTCCTCCTCTGAGTGCTGTGCACAGGGACGCCTCCTGCTCAGCCAGGTGGCCTGGTCATGACCAGCTGTGTTGGCCTCTTGTGGCTGTCGTAACACCTTATCACCTGCTAGGTGGCTTCTGACCACAAAATTTTCTCTCCTGCAGTTCTGGGAGCTAGAAATCCAAAATCGAAGTGTAGGGAGGGTTGTGCTCCCTGTGAGTGCTCCAAGCAGGAGCCATTCTCTTCCTGTTTCTGGTGGTTCCTGTGTTCCTTGGCCTGAAACTCCCAGCCCTGCCTCTGTGGGCACGTGACTGCCTCCGCCTGCCCCCTCCTTCCTCTCCCCTATATAAGGATGGTAGTCATTGCAGGCAGGGCCGTCTGGATAATCCTGGATGATCTTCTCATCTAGAGATTAACTTAATTACTTCTGCAAAGATCCACTTTCCAAATAAGGTCACTTTCACAGATTCTGGGGATTTGGACTTGGGCACATCTTTTAGAGAACCCCCTTTCAACCCCCTGATTCCACTCGTCTTGGTTAACTCGTTCCTCTTCTCATTGAGCCAACGCTAGGCTCTGGCTTTTGACCCACAAATCCCCGTCCATCCCCGGGATTTCTCTGGCTGGGCCAGTCCATGGCCTCCAACAGAATGTGCTGTGAAACTTGGACTTGGCCCTGGGCAGGTCCCTCCCCTGTCCCTGCCCCATTTCCTTGTTGTCAGATCAAAGTCCCTCATTGTTGGCTCCTATGACAACACCGAACCTTCCTTCCTGGCTGGGACACAGTTGCGGATTCACACTAATTCTTATCATTCTCTATTCTCTCTCTGCTACCCATCAATTACTTATTGTTGACTGTCTAATTTTGTCTGTGTGGGCGATCATGCTGGTATCTGTCTGTGCCCTATGATGTGCCCATCATCCCACATACCTGGTTCTAAGAGTCAGTGAGCACCTGTTGGATGTGTGGTTTTAGACACATCTGTGACCCTGATGAATCTCTGGTTTGTCCCTCCAGCTGATGGCTGACCCCTGAGCTCTAGGGTGTCTCTGTGGACTCTGTGCATCCACGTGGGGGCTGGTGCGCATTGCACAGCTTACATCTCCAGATTTCGGTTCCCATCTGTGCCCCGGCCTGGGACTCTCCCTCATTTCAGTCAATACATCTAAGCCTCCTGCGAAGCTTTTGGCTTTGTGCTGATGTCCAGATGACCTTGAAGTCTTCTCTGCTCCCCTTGGAGCAGTTCTGGGGTCCAGCCAACCCCCTCTTCTCCGGCAGTGGTTCGCTGTGCTCTCCTACCTGGACTTGGCCTCCAGGCAGTCTCTCTGTGCCACCATTGCCCCATTTCCAGTTCATTCTCCACACAGGTGGCCACAGGACCAGGGTCCCATGGAAGTTGGATAATGTCACCTCTTGCTGATATCCCTCCAGTGGCTCCCTGAGGCATTGAATGCTACATCCTCCCTAGTGCCTGCAGCCCCACCCCATGTGGCCTGCCTCCCTCCCCCAGCTCGCCTCTCCCTTGGACCCAGCCCATGGGCCTCCTTGATAGTCCTCACACCCCAACCACAGCCCCTGAGACTCTTGCTGCCCCTGGAGGTGTGCATGGCTCCACCGTGTTTAAAACATCGCCCTGTGCAGGAAGCCACCTGGCCGCTGTATGGCAACACATGGCCCCTTCTTCTCACCCAACCTTATTTTCCCTGTGGCAGTGTCCCTGACCCCAATACCACTGGCTTTGCCCATACAGCCTCTCTGCTAGCAGGTGGGCTCCAAGGGACCAAGCCTTCGTCTCTGTAGTTCTTACTGTGTGCACAGCTCATGAGTGCTAAGTGCAAAATAAGTATCAGTTAAATGAATGAGCCAGAATGGGCCAATGGGGGATTAGAGGAGCCAGTGCCTGTAAAGTACTAACAGGTGCCAGGTCCAGGGAGCCCTCATCCCTGTACTGTTTCTCCCAGGGCATGGCTCAGACCTGAGCCTCTTGTTATTTGTGCTTGAAACCTGGTGTCCACAAGTGAACATGGAGTTTGAGCTGGGGTCTGAGAGGGGGGAAGGTAGCACTCATTGTAGAAACTCATCCTGGAAACTGCTGT